CTTTCCATCTTCATCCGCTTCTTGTCGGCGGCGGGGGGGCAGAAAAGAGGGTTTAGAAATCTTACAAGCCCCAAGATGATGAGGGGACTGAAAAATAAAGATGTCTTATGAGTAAAGGGTGAGGGACTTGGGGCATTTTTGACAGGATGCCCATGAGGCAGCAATGTGCCCTGGTGGCCAAGAAGGCCAATGGCATCCTGGGGGGCATCAAGCAGAGCGTGGCCAGCAGGTGGAGGGAGGTCATCCTCCCCCTCTGCTCTGCCCTGGGGAGGCCACATCTGGAGCGCTGTGTCCAGTTCGGGGCTCCCCGGGTCAAGAAGGACTGGGAACTGCTGGAGAGGGTCCAGCAAAGGGCAACAAAGATGATTAGGGGACTGGAGCATCTCTCTGCTGAGGAAAGGCTGAGGGACGTGGGGCTGTTCAGTCTGGAGAGGAGAAGACTGAGGGGGATCTCATCAACGCTGATCAATCCCCAAAGGGAGGGTGCCGGGGGGTGGGAACAGTCTGTTTCCAGTGGTGCCCAGTGACAGGACAAGAGGGAACGGGCACAAACGTGACCATGGGCAGTTCCATCTCCACCTGAGGAGGGCCTTCTCTGCTGTGAGGGCGGCAGAGCAGTGGCAGAGGCTGCCCAGAGAGGTGGGGGAGTCTCCCCCTCTGGAGCCATCCCAAACCCGCCTGGACGCCGTCCTGTGCCACTGCTGGAGGTGCCCCTGCTCTGGTGGGGGGTGGGATGGGGGAGCTCCAGAGGGACCTTCCAGCCCTCACCAGTCTGGGATGCTGTGTGAAGTTGAGGTGGGGAGTATAATTAAACGTTAAATATAAATGTTTTGGTGTGAAGGCAGTTGGTTTTTTGGAGCGCCGCCCAGCACATCCCCCCGCTGCCGCCAGCTGGGTCCCCCATGCGGCACAGCCCTCCCCGGGGACCCCCTCGCCGGGGTGCGCGTCCTGGGTCGAGGCATGTTTGCCAACGGCCCAACTTCATTAGAAACCCATCACGTCCGCCGGGCCGCCCTGTGACAGGCCGGGAGCCGCCAGCATTTGTTGTCTTAATGCACAAGTACTCGGGGACTGAACTGATAAGGAAAAAACTGTTCGGAATCTGCTGAACTACACGCTTAGGGTGGCACGGACCCGCGCAATATTGAAAATCAATAGTCACGTGGCGGTTTAAAGGTTAGAGGTCTCCGGAATTAACTTTCTAGTACTAAATTACCAGCCCTTGGGTTTTTTTTTTTTAGTTTGTTTGTGTATTTATTTATTTATTTCCCATCTTGCAGCGACTGGAGAGACGCATTGACTTTGAAGACGCATCGCTTGCACCTCGCTTGCGCTCGAAGCGAAGGAAAAAAGCAGCAAAACCTTTCAATACTTGGCGTGACGATTTAAATAGTAAAGTATTTCTCATGAGCAAATTCAGATGGAGTCAGAAGACATACAGCAATGTCAAATACGGCAACGGAGCCGTGAGCATGATTAGTGGCCTGAAAATGAAAATACAGCTCGAGTCTTTTAACTCACATCCTCTACAGTGCCTGTGCTTGTACGATGTGTAATATTTAAATTAATTCATGCTTTATTTTTATCAACATTTAGAAAATGTGAAGTAACAGTGTTACTTGAACTATTTATTCATTAGGAATGAACAAACAAATATTGTCACAAATAAACTGAACGTCTAGAGTCGAGGCCTGTGCAGGCTTGCCCTTTGCTTTTCACCCGTGAGCACTGCGCCGCGTGTAGGTACTCACATGTGGAAGCACCTTCATGACGGGTTTTCAGCTTCCCTCCCTGCAGGTACCGCAAAAAACCAAATCTTTCTTTTTTTTTTTATTTCATTGAACAGATTTCTTATTTAATTTTTTTTTTTTCCATTTCCCTTCCCCTTGTTTTCACTCCCCGAGCTCCACCGGCAGCTTTGCATTTCAACATCGGATAGTTGCACCCCGGGTGAGTCTGCACCAGAAGGGCTGGCAGGGCGCCGGGTCCCGGTGGTCCACCCAAGCCAACACCTTTGGGCGCTTGGCAGATCCCCTGGGGGACAACCTGGGGGGTTGGCCATTACCCATCTGTACGTGTCCCAGCTCCGGCGGGGCTATCGGCAGCAGCGTCCGTGTAGGGGGGGTTGGGGCTCCCCGGGATGCTTCACAGCCACCTCTCCGCAGGAGCATCCCCGTGGGCAGGGGCAGCCCCGGGCTTTGCTCCGCTTTGCGCTGGCTGTCCACCCTGGGTGACCGCGTTGAAGGGAGATCCAAAGCGCCCACCAAGGCTTTGAAGTAGCGGGTTAAGGAGACCTGGCAGCAAAAAAAAAAAACCCAAAAAACCCAACTTCCAGGAGTTTTAGACACTGCTAAAGTTTTTTCTTTCTGGGTCACAGACACTTCTCCAAAGCCTTATTTCTAGAAATACTCAGCTGGTTTAAGATTTATTGACTGTGTGCAGCTTAAATTTGATTTTCTCTTATCACAGTGTAACCGTACATGTGTGCACCATCCCAGCTGGGAAGGGGCAGCCAGACGCTTGTGGGACCAGTTTGACCAGCTGGGCTGTGGGATGGTGTCTGTGCCATGGCCGGTGTGGTTTGGTGTGCCCGGCACCATCCTGCCCGGGTCACGGGCAGCGCTGGGAACCCAACGGAGTGAGCGGTGGCACGTGGAGAAGGACACGCGCCGTTGGACCTACCAACGGGTGAAACCCGGCGCGTACTTTTCAGAAGTATTTGTGCGCACTAAACATCATCACCTCAACATACGCAGAAATGAAGTCCAAAATACGGGGGGAAAAATCTGAGATAACCACTCACGCCTCATTACTGAACTAAACAAAGAAACAAAACCAAACCCAAATGACACACTGTAATATTTTGCCAAGTCTCTCATTTTAAAAAATGAATTGTGAACTTAACCTTTTCGGCTGTGGCATTTCTGGGCTCTCTGCTAACAAGTGTCAGATCCACCCCTGCCATCGGCGCCTCCAATCTGCTCATGTCCAGGTGCCCTCCACCACCTTCGACTCCAACACGAAGGGAGCCACCACACCACAGGGACGCTCCCCAAAATTTCCCCTCGGGCACACGCTGCGTTTTGATAGACAAACTCACAGGACGAAGACCAACTTGTAACCACTAAAATAAAAACCTGCTGCTGAGCGTCTGGTTGGACACCGTCTCAGGCGATACTTAAGCACGTACACAATTTTAGCCGTGCGAAGAGCCCTACTCACTCAGTACGGGATTCACAGACCCACACATTCATACATAAATGGGGTTATATCAAGGCATAAACCAGAAAAATCTTCCTCTGTTCATCTGCTATCATAAACTTTTGATTGGACAGTGTGTACGTTATATTACGGATAAAAGTTTCTGGCTGAGTTTTTCTTCGGTTACTGTATTTATACAAACCTACAGATTACTGTCGCCTAAGGAAGAGCCAGCACTGTTACGGGTGATTTTTTTGTGCAAAAAAAGAGCTAGAATTTTAAAAACATTACTTTAAAGCATAGCTTGAACTAACATTTTCTGGTTTGTACATACGCAAAATAATCCTATAGAAATGTTAAGATTTGTTTTCCATAACCGTCATTCTTAACTAGTGCACAATTACCTTTATGTTTATTTCTATCAGCAATCTTATTAATTCCCATACTACTTCTGGACAATGCTTGCACTACAGAAGTAATTTTAATTGAACATTTATTAAAATAAATGCTTTGTCAGGATATACCCACTCCATCTGGCTGCACTGGACAGGCATTATTTCCTGGACGCGTCTGCTTTATACAACGTCTTCTCCCACAGCTCTCGCTGACGACCAGAGATGATGATTAGATTGCTGTGGGTTTTGCTCGGCAGTGTTTTCTGCCGCAGCCCTTTCTGTCTCGCGGACATTAGCTTACATGCACACTCTCCGCAGGACTCTTCCTCTTCTGCCGCACAGAATAGGGTTTATTCTGCAAGGAGATCGTTAGCCCACCAATCTGACGAAAGGCAGAGACCTTCTATAAATAACCCACCCCGCAAGGCTGGATGGCCTCTATATTTTTATTTTTTATTTTTTTTTTTAATGTATATCCATGCTCACAATGGCAGAGCTAAGAGTTTTGATGAGAAATAAAATATGAACCAAGTTCGCCAGCGTTAAATTTCCACCCTTGAAAATAAAACCAGACAAGCTTTCCCCTCTCTCCCTCCTCACAGCAGTCACCCGCTGACAACCAGATTCTGGCCACCATAAAGCTCTTTTTTAGCACACTTGCTCACTTAGCAGCCAAACATTATTTTGATTGCTGGCATCACCAACAAACACAAAACAAACAGGAGACGCGCAGCATTAAAAAAACCCGGAAGCATTGTGCAGTTAATCCTCCATTCACCGTCCTATCAAAGGACTTTTTTGTTACTTTTTGCCGTGATTCATCTTAATGAAAGCCACGATTTTTAACAGCATATCTCCTTCAACCCAAACCCGGCACACGCGCTTCCCTCTCCGGCCAGACCACGGGAGATTTAAAGCTGTTACCGCTCACAATAGGGGAAGTGGTGTTTTCTGGAACTTCAGAAGGTAAATTAATATTCACTAAACTGCTTGGGGTTTGTTTTTTTCTCATCAAAAGCCTCTATGGTCTCTCGAATGGTAATTGCAAACACTGCACCTCCCCTCCGCCCCCCAACTTTTTAAATTTCTTTGCTGTGCGCTGGTCATTTGTCACTCTTTCTTTGACAGCCTTGAGCACGTACTTCATTAGTGGTTTTGGGGAGGTCCTTATGTTTTTTTAGCATTTCTGCTCTGTGTAAAAGTGCCTTGAGACAACCAGGAGCTCCCCGCAGGCTGGTGCGGTGCCTACCAATGCTTGTGCAAGGCGGAAGGACCACCCGATATTCCGCACTTCCAGCGGCATGGGGAGCGGTGAGCGTTGCACGAGATGGGGGCCCTCCCTCTTCCCAAGGATGGCACATCTCCTCTCGCAGGAATACGGTATCTCAACAATTCCCAGGGACCTCTCACACCAAGAAATTGAAGTTCTTGTGGCCTTCGTTATGATATTCCAAGCAGGTCCACCACAGGGAATTGAGCAACCAGATCATTTTCGCATGTTGTTTTCTGGTTTTAGGGTTGCTCGTATTGGTGGGAACCTCCCACAAGTGAGGCAAAATATTTAGTATCGAAAGAATATTTTGAGTCAGCTCAATAGCTCTAAGCTGGCTATCAAGTCCCAGACACAGCTCAATGGCCACGGCATCGTGGAATCGCTTTGAAACAAACATATATGAATTATTTTGGGATTCCAGATAAGGGTAAAGAATAAATAAAGATTGTACACCCCCCTCTCCCCCCTCAGAAGTACCCTGACTTGCTAAGAAGCACTGTCCCGGGGAGGGTAACTCTGCAGTTTCCTTTCTTAAGGCTAGAACAGCAAAATTTTAGAAAGTTTTTGTTCAGGACATATCTAATCCCCATCTTTGCTTTAGCTACAATTTCCACAGGGTTGGGTCAGACCTTTTCTTGATAGACGGATGTATCTTCAAAAAATGAACATAAACACAATGGTAGTCTGTAAATGAAGCTGCATTTCTTTGCAGGAGGAAAACCATAAAGTCATATTTAAAAGGAATTTATTGAAAGCTTCAACCATGGCCAACTGATACCAGAACATACGGCACAGTGTAACGCCATGATATCTCTGAAGGCTGAAGAAGCTTTCAAGGGCTTTTAAACCTTTGCAGATGATTGGGATGTTGCAGGTCCAAAAGCAGAAATGAAAACTGAGTAGCAGAGCACCACATCTAAACCCCAGAGGTCGCGGTCCCCAGTGGACACTTCCCATTGCTTTCAAACACTTAGCTCAAACCCAGAGAGGACCGTGTGAAGAAGGCGACTCAGATGATAAAGGAAACGTTGGGATGATGGGTGATGTGAAGGAAGATGTGAAATTTGTCTTACAAAAAACAAATGGTTGTGGTGGATACCTAGCACAGACATCATCCAAACCCAGGGATTCGACAGGGACCAGAATTAACTTCCAGGAACTTCAAAGTAAGACCCAAGCGTAAGCTTGGAGTTGTTTGATATTCCAGGATAACCTGTATATCCCTAATAACTGACCTCTGAGCACATTGGTTATGTATCATTCTGCAGAGCATTTGAGATTCCGAGGATTTAATTTGAAAATGACATAATAATCTTAATTTAACAGAATGTCTTCGTTCATGGAAGGTGCATGGCGTTGAATCAACAAGCAGTCAATGTATTTGGTTTATTGACGTCTGTTGTCAGGCAGTGAGGACTGTGACTCAGAGGCACTTAGCACACACTGGATTTTTTCTTCTTCTGAAAGCTTTTCTGCAAAATATGGTTAGAGTTGCTCCCTGTCCAAGGAGTTAATGAACTCACTATAAAAACTTGACATTAATTACTCTTCCGTCTGTGACAGCAATAATGAGGGCTAGTTCTTCCTCAAAGAAGTATAGACAAACATGACTTTATAATTACACTTTCCTTAATAACTGATTGATACATTTGCTGGTCATCAAGTTACAAAAATGAGTTTTGAGAGCAGATGACGGTGAGGTCTGGGTTGAGACCCAGATGGAGAAGGTCTTCGAGCTTGAGGACGTTCAGATCTGAGAACGGGGCTCAGGGCCATCGCTGGGTTTGGTTCACAAGGTGCACATTAAGCTTCTAGTAGGGTCCACGTCCTCATCCAGCTTCTCTGCAGAGTAGTGGGTTAGAACAAGGGCTCCCATAGCCTAACCCCGGCCCTGTCCCGATCTCTCCCAGCCCCAGGAGGCTACACCAGCACGACCTGGATCCTGGGACCTTCTTCTGAAAGGTGCCACCACACCATACAAAGGACCTACCTCGAGGTTTGCTGCCTGGCTCAGCAGTGTCGGCAGACGGGTGGAGATTTGTCCAGGAGCCTCTAAGGCACAGGCAGGTAATCAATCAAGGAGTACAACAAACCACAGGGGTTTTATGGTTGACCATGTAATACAGAAATAAAGTTGGGCAAAACTTATACGCAGTTTCAGCCTGCGTATGGCAAACACCTTGAATCACAAAACCCGCTGGCTTATTTTACAAACAGGAAAGGCTTCCCGCTTAAAAGGTTAGACAGAAATTTAAAAGGTAACTTGCAATGAAAGTCAAGTTGTGGAGAGAGGGGAAAAAAAAAAAAAAAAAAAAGAAAGAATCCAAGAGGAATCCCTGAGGGGAGGAGGGAGCACAGCAATGTGACCATCAGGTGCTCAGGTGTCAAGAACTGATGATCTGCCCGTCATAATTAAAGAGAGAGACTTGAAAAAAATCTCAGGGAACCAGGAGATGCCAGGAAAACTTCAGTGGAGTGGTAGCTTTTTGCTCAGACAATGGGGAACGAGGAGGAGAGGAGTCAGTAAGAGGCGGTTCACAGAGGAACAGCTATCCTGAGCTGACAAAACTTCCCGGGCTCTGCGCTCGACCTGTGATTAATCGCACAGACACCCAAAGCACCGGCTGCGACCAGGAGCCATCCTCCTAATGCATGTCACAAACTTCATAATTCCACTTGGAACGAGACAACAGCAAGTTAAATTCCTGGATCACTGTCACCGTGTCACTTACAGAAGAAGTTGCACCGGGGAACAGTTGGCGATTGGAGTAATTTGAATGGAAATGTCAGTTTTCACAACCTATGATTTGAGGTAAGTGCCCTGCTATTATACAGCAGCTCTGTCAAGCAGCCGGGGCTGAGTGCACGCCGCCACCTCCTCTTGGCAAAAGCATCCTCTTCCCCGCAACCCATCGCACCGAAAACCTCCCATTCTCCTCTCTGCAGCACCCGTTGTGACCCCAGCGAAGAACAGCTCACGCAGACGAACCTTCGCTGTGTCTTCCCACATCCCGGCCTGATTTTAATTCTAATTTTGTATTCCGTTCAAAGGTATGTGTTTCAAAACCACACAGAAACAGGGAGCCGTTTCTGAATAAATCGATTAATCGAGATTCGCATTGACCTCTGGGCAGGTTTCGTCTGACTAAGGACTTCAGAATACGGTCAATATGTCTTACTGCTAAATACTTGCAGAAGTTGCTACATAAGGTTGTACACATCCTACACACATCTGTGACAGATCCAGTCAATTCCCTGCGCTGTACGGGGGGGGAAAATACTTGCTGTGCAGAAGTGCCGTGGTTTTGTCTCGTACCTGCCCTTCAGTAACACCTTTATATATGTTATATATGTCTTTATTCAGGTATTTTGGTATGTGAAAGGAAATGCATCCAGCGCACAACTTGCGCACCGATTCGCCTCGACTGATACAGAAGGAAATCAAGTTAAACCAGCCCGGCTATCACAGAGAGGAGCTCTCAAATGTTTAACTTCAATCAGTTAGACATCAATTCCAACCATATTGATCTAGAAGCACCCAAACACAGTATCCCCCAAGTTTAACTAAATCACAGCCTTCACAAAACCAGAATAAATGCATGCGCAGACCCGACCTAAAAGCAATAGGAAATAAAAGCAGGAAACGCTGGCTATGAGTAACACAGCTCGCAGAAGGATGGCAAGAAAAGGGCAGCTATACAGAAGGGGAAGGCTGTCGTGGGAGACGCGGGGCACCGTTGCCAGACCAAAGAACAACCTGTGGGGTTGAGAACAACTCGGAGCTGAGCCCAGCGCCTTCGCAAACCAGCCGTGCTGCGGTGTTACTACCTTATCCATCCCTGGAGGTGTTCATGGCCAGGTTGGACGGGGCTTGGAGCAACCTGGGCTGGTGGGAGGTGTCCCTGCCCGGGGCAGGGGGTGGAACGAGATGGTCTTCAAGGTCCCTTCCAACCCAAACCATTCTGTGATTCTATGGTTCTACGTTTATCTGCGCCCGCCAGCCAGCCTGCACAGGAAAGGATCTCACAGCCAGATGTCACGCAGGCAAAGTAGTCCAACATCTGCGGTTTGAAAAAAAGAAAGGAGAAATAATTGACCCGAGAGATCTTTTCTGGCCTCTGGACGAGCTCACTGAGCGCCAGGAGATGCGCTTGGTCGAGCTCTAGCACTGGGAAGCAGCGATGGGGTAAGTGGCTTTTAGGGGTTTCCCCTCCTCGGACGAGCAGGTTGCTCGATTTTATAAGAAATAAAAAAATCTTGTCGTTCAAAAGAAGAGATGGGGCAGGAAGATGCTTGGACTTTGCTATCCTCTATATGCAGAGGATGGTAAAGAAACTATTACACAGTTTATACACTGCCCGTGGTGCGCACTGACATTGGGGTATCTCCAGGCAAAGTGAAGCACAATTACTACTATTATTTTTACTTTGAAGGGAGTGGCTTACTGAATCAGTAAATACAGTGTTTTTTTTTATTTTTCTTTTATGCCAAACAATAAATACAGCGGGAGAAAAAATGCATCGAGAAAATGTGAAGTGAAAGAACTGGAAAACAAGCCAAATTTAGATTTTTTGCCTGCAGGATAATTGACAAACCGAGAAGCTTCCCTGGCTTCAAAACAGCTACTTAGATCGCAGGTGGTTGTTTTCTTAAAGGGTAAAAAGCAAAAGCTCTATCTCTTTTTACGGTATCCTTTTCAGGCATCCTACTCCGCCGCAGCCACCAGGCTTTTATGCGTGCCCAGGCAGCAGAGGCTGGATCCTGCTGCAACACTCTGTTGGACTATAAACCAATGATATTTGCTTTACCTGTGCACTATCTTCCATGGAACAAAACAACATTTACATCTGGGATCAATTTGCTTGAAATTAAAGTGCAGCTGCTATATCTCTTCTGCATCAAAAGTATAGTGTTAAGGCTATAACGTACAGACAGTTACACATTACTTTGCATTGTAATATTTAGATTTGTGTCATTTTCCATCTGAAGTAAAAAGCGTCTTTAAATAAATGAGTGATCTTATACTACATATTTTATGGGCTGTGTACTCAGCAAGATATATCTACATTTGCAATGTGCACATACTCATCTCCAGTTTCAAACTACGTATTTAGACCTTGAATTTTAATGCTTAAATGAAAACACGGTGTAGGAATAATTTGGACTGTGCACTCAGAAAAGTTCTGCCGTGTTTGTACAGGAGGGCTGGAGGAGTCCAGTAGCATTCTTGGGTAAAACATGAGCTTTTCCAGTTCATTACTGGGGATCCTTTCCCCCTCCCCAGTGCTCTCTCGCCACAGCCCGCCCTTTAACGCCGGGATGCCCGAGCCGTTGGATGAGGTTGACCCTGGCAGCCCACCACCACCCCAATGTCATCAGCATACATATGACCCGTACAAACAGAGGACTGCACGTGGCTCCTGTTATTTACACAGAAACCACTGCAAACGCACCCAAAGAGGGACCACGAGTTCGGTACCTGTGAAGCAGTGACCGCAGCTGTGGAGTGCGGCCGTGCCGGGTGGGACCGGGCTCTGGAGCGCGGCCCTGAGGTTACCTCCTGCTGCTTGCCTCTTCTGGAGGTGCGTCACCCAGCACCCACGCTGATGGACCCACCACGTAGCACTCTGCAGCACCTCAACAGGTGACTTGGCAGGAGACGGTGGTATTTATCACCTTATCATCTGAAACGACGTCCTCCAGCTGCGGGTTTGGCTCTGCACCGTGTGGCCGTGGGCAGGAACCACCATTACCTGGTCATCTGGAGCAGCTGTTTCTTTCATGTTTTGCTCGTTGTCATCAGAAGCCTCCACCTCCAGAGGCGTCCTGCCATGCTGCTGGTGCCTTGGGACCTCCAGCGATGGGTGAGGAACTTGCACGGGGCCCATGAGGATGTTCACCGCGGGGACAGAGCCTACTGGTGAATGAACAGATAGGACATTTCCTGTTACTTTTAGATATTACTTATCCGCATATAAAGGCCCACATTTGTTGGCATTAAACGGCAAAAGGCCGCTGGCAACGCACAACTACAACACACCATTTTCTGAAGGCTGGGGACAATTTGGCTTCAAGGTTTCCAGCCAGTTGTACCCGACACTGCTGCCTCTCAGAGTGTAAGGCTCTACATTTTAATTCCTCCCCAGATTACCAAATTCAAGTCTGATTGACTGCTGACAATCAAACATTGCAATTGGCAGAAGGATGTAGGAAATATAATGCACTCCAACCCCCATAATTAAGCAATTGTTTGAAAAAAAGTTTTGGTGCTCTCTAAGAGTTCTGGGGGCTTTTTCCCAGGGCTGTGCTGTACCCCCAAATCTCAGGCAAATGGCAAGAGCCATTCAAAAATAATAAAATTTCCTTCTGAAACCAATGCTATTAACCTGCTTTTGCTTTCCAAAAGAAAAAAAAAAAAACAAAACAACCAAAAATGAGCTATGTGACACTGGAAAGAGGAATAGAATCTGAATTTTCATAGAATTTCCCCCTATAGTTTCCAAACAGAATTTTTCCAGTTTTCCACAGAAAATGGTCTCTATGGTTTAAAAAGCACATCTAACTCCACAATTCTCATATTGTTTTACTGCCAATGGCAAGAAACAATTCAAGAGAAAGCCCACGAAAACAACTGTCCGGGATAACAGCTACAGCGCACATAGCAGGGCAATTTAGTGAAATCAAGATCAATGGTTATGTAGGTCATTTCCAACACAGGGTATTCTACCTTAAAGCGTAGCGCATTGGTTGAGACGAAAAATGGAAGTGCAACATTTTCAAGCTATCATTTCCTCCCAACAGCCGCAATATTTTGTGTTTTGGTGAAGATGAATCAGACATTTATTTTTGCAGCAGTCATGCATGCGCTGCAGCCCCCGTTGCGCACCACTCAAACTGGCAGCACAGGAACCCCGGCAGATAACACGCTGTAGGACCTCAACATCTTCTGCTCCAGCTTTGGCAAAAAAAGAACTTTTCCAGCTCAATCCTGCAGTGGTTGACATAAGGACATAGGACTGTGAAAGAGAGGATGCCGCTCATCTAAAGGAGTCAGATTGTGTACCTGGACTTTATCCACTGCCTGGAGAAGAGAGACAACCAATTAGTCCAACACAGCTTCTTTGCCATACCCAGGTTGGAAAACAGATTGAAGGGGTCAAAAAATTCAGAAGGCTCCACATGATCTGACATTTGCCTTGTCAAAATTTTCTTGACAACCAGAAGGTTGGCGACAGTTTGCTGGTCATGAGGAGCGGCGGTACGGGAAGACTGATTACCGAGCTGGGGAACAAGAAACCGGTCAATTAACGGTCTGCTCGTTCTCAAAACAGTGATTTCTTCAATAACTCAGGGTGGTTTCAGTCTGCTCATTTTTAGAGGACAAACGCGCTGTAAAATAGTTGCTGGAGAATACAAACATTTCCTTAGTTTGCAGCCTCCCGATATCGCTTCTGCGGCTGCAGAGGTGATCTCCAATTCAAGCGATATTTGGAGGTTTAAACCTCATTCCAGTGCTGGCCTTTTCTCACTTAATCGCATTTGCACAACAATATCTGCTGCAAAATGCATCGGTGGTAGTTGAAGTGACTTTCACGAACACTATACCGGTTTCATTTCAATTTTTTTGCTTTTAATTCCCAGTTTGATTTGGGCTACATTAAATATAACTCTCCACAGAATTAACTCTTTGTCCGGGAAGTTTCTCAGCCTGCGATACGGGAGCGGACACTCATCTTCCATCACTCGTAGGGCGCCTTTAGTGTGCTCTGCACCCGCCCTGTGCCCACCCCGGTATTAGCGATCCCGCACAGACTCATTTGCCTTCAGCTCTTCTGTATATCTGTCAGATATTTTTGGTGTCTGATGTCTACTGCAAGGACAAACGGATGCAAAATACTGATGTAATTTTATAGATACAAATCATAACAGTTTTCTATTCATCGCCAGTATTCCTTGATGTAAACCCGTCTCTATGCTGCTGATCCATCACCGCCGCTGCGAGGGGCCGGGGCTCATCCTCCTCGCTTGCCCGGCCCTATCGCCTGGGGCAGAGAGAAAATAGAAAGTTCAATAGCCCTGAGAGCAGGTGTTGTGTATCCTAACAAAAATAGGACATTTTGGCAGGTAGAGGTTGAGATCCTCTACTGACCCACTTCTACTGGTCCTGCTCCAAACTGCAGGTACGGTGCTGTTGTGCCTCCTGAAGTGGCTGTATAGAACCATAGAATGGTTTGGGTTGGAAGGGACCTTGAAGACCATCCAGTCCCACCCCCTGCCCTGGGCAGGGACACCTCCCCCCAGCCCAGGTTGCTCCGGGCCCTGTCCAACCTGGCCTTGAACACCTCCAGGGATGGGGCAGCCATCTCTGGGCAACCTGTGCCAGTGCGCGGTGTCTCTGCTCTGTGAACGGTGCTCCGCTGAGGAGGGAGTTTAGGATGATTCTTTAAAAAACCCGCCCCAGCCCAAAGAAACCCTCCCATCAGGGGAAATCCAGCATCGGTCGGAGGTTTGGTCACAGCTTCTGGTGTGATCCCAACACGTGTGGTCTTCTCCCTCCGAGCTCGTTTATCCGGAGTAAGGCTGTGTTTCAGAAAGCCTTTTGAAGACACAACAGCTTTAGGAACTCGGCCCGGGGGGCTGTGTTAAGGACAACTTTCTGCGGGTTCTAGGTAAAACAAAAAAACCCCCATTTTCTCTCTCTTTCCTTAGCGCACAGCCCTGCTCTCGCTGGGTCCTGCCGAGCCCCCGATGTGACTTGTCCGGAGTCACCCCGGCAGCTGGGTCCACACGCGGGGACACGCTCGCTCCCATTTTCCTGCAAAGTACAGCGGTGGTCTATCGCGGCACCTCTCCTCGGCTCCAGGCGCTCCCCATCATTCTGCCGCAGGCAGCGCGGGCTCGCCGGGGACTGGGAGGGCACTGGGAAACACAACCCAGTCAAAGGGGGGAGGGGGGGGGAGAGGTGCAGGAGGTGGTGATTGCTTCCCCCCACCCCAGCGGGTGCTCAGGCATCACCCCTATTCCGGCTGGAGAACACAAAGTTCGTCATCTCGTCGTTTTAACGCTGGGTGTGAACGACGATCGGGTGCAACAGCTCACGCTGCAATATTCTATCAATTCTTAAAACCCTCTGAATCTCTGGAGGGTTCTACCTACGGGCACCCCAGGGCATGCACGCTTTGGGTGAAGCGCTACCCCAGGTCTCCTACGAGAAGATTACTTATAACTAAAAAGATAAGATGGTTTTGTGATTAGATTTTGCTGACGAGTGTTTTGTTCAGAAAGGGCAAAGGTTTGGTTTTGTTTTTTTTTTTTTTTCTGGGTATTACGAAGAAATCATTTCATCATATCACTTATTTTAACTATTGAAAGATGGCGGCTTGCCCATCGCCCCGTAAAATTAAACCTGCATTTAGGCATCATGCTGATGGCTCGACCCTCGGCATATAAAACGTGTTTGCTGAATAAAAGCAGAAATCAGGACTGTGTTTGAGGCTCACACCTTTAAAAATCCTGGGCCACAACCAACATTGAACTGCCGAGGAAAGCTCAGCCATGCTAGCAAAGTCAATAAATAAATGCAGTAATTTTTAAAGACATCACAATACAATGGTTTTCCCTCCTGCTTGCCAGAGTTTTAAAGACTGAAGTCAACTCCGGATGAAAACCCGCTCTGGATTCCCACTCCTGGCATCCTGCCCTCGTGCGGCGGGTGCTGCTGAGGGCTCAGCGGGGCCGTGCGGGCGAGATGGGGTCCAAACCACAGAGTGACTCCAATGGACTCCTTGGAGCTGAGACACGAGTTTTCTGTATGGAATTAGGTCATCTGGGTGTGCGCTGGAAAGTGAAAATCGCATCATCGCAAGGTCGCTCTTCCTGAGATAAAAGGGTTGCAGCTGTTTTTCTCGGTAACGACCATCAGTTCTGCACTTGGGGTCACGCTGAGGGTTACTTTAATTAAACATGGCGTCTATCAGCCCGTCTAACCTCAGTGGGTGCCTGAGGTGGGTTAACCCCCTTCCTCGAGGGCTGCCCGGGGCCGGGCTGGGCAGAGCCCCTGCTCCAGGCTCGACCCTCGGCTTCCTCGCGTGTTGAGCCCACACCGACTTGGTGAGCAAGAGCTCGGCTCCACGGTCCCTACGTGCAATTTGCAGCAATAATTTCAGCAAAAGAAGGGCAATGTCACATCAAATAATAGACCCTAGGTAATGCCGGCACGGGTCGGGACCGGCGGGCTCCGTGTGCTGCCCGGGCACCTCGCAGCATCCATGGCCGGGGAGGAGGTGATGGACCAGCGCCCGTTTTTCTGCGGGTTAGATGAAGATTGGTTAAGGAGAAGAGCTCAGGAGGAGCCCTCCACGCTCCAGGAACACTCCCTGAATCAAATAAAAAGCCCCGTTTAAAATAACTAAATAAGGCACTTAAAGAGGTTTTAAAAATTGATAACTAAACATACAGTACGGGATCGATCTTGATTACTGCCCAGGTGGAATTTTTGTCTTCTGGCTTTTTTCAATGAAAAAACCCCCAACGCCCCAACCCAGCCATTAATGAGAAACGTTAAAGGCTTGTTAACAACATCCTTTCATCAACCCAAGGCGCTGCCAGCGCCCCGCGCTCACGTCAATTTTCACCTTGCGGTCCAGCTACCGCATCTCGCCCCGCCGGCTGCGGCTGATGGAGCCCAGACCCCTTGCCCACCGCCGCCGC